CTTTTTATTTACTTTTTTGGTAAGTTAAAGGAATTAAAATATTTTTTTATTTAATTACTTCTAAACTGAGTCGAAACGCCGAAGTTCGACCGCCCCAAGGGGATAAAAATAGCATATTGTTTAATTTTATTTTATGTACTAGCATTTTTTTATAAGTTTGATCACAATCTCAGTACTTTTGGTTTTTTTAGAAAAGATACAAAAATTCTCTGACACCAAATAATGCTGACGCTTTGTCTGCTGGTATTATTCCAGCGATTTGAGATATTACCGCCAGTACTGCAGCAGCAGCATGAGGCCAGAGGTTGTCCAAAATCAAATTCCAGTGTTTCTTCTGTAAATGTGATATTTTCCTTGTGACTTTATGTGTATAAGTTTTCACGATATTTGCATACCAGTTACCTTTTGTTCTACGGCTGGTAATATTGACTTCCGTAGATTCAGTAGATGGCCGGTCAGGACATCACTTGTTGATCACCTACATGTTATCCTCTTTTAAATACCTTCACCTGTAAGTATTTACCGTCATATACATGCCGTAACGTTCTGAATGTTTAGTTACCCCTCTTCCAACGTTCATCATAAAATTCAGTCACATCTTTAATATTTTCGTAAAAACATTTTTTTATTCGCAACAATGAAACTTACCCGGTATCTCATATTGGAAAAGAGACAGTTTTAATGCTTTTTAATCAAGTCTTTGTTGTAAAAGCATTAGATTATTGCTAATGATGGTCTGTCTTCGAAATTAATTCAACATTATAATATACATGGCGATAGTGCAGCAATGAATTATGCCTAATAGTTGAGAAGTTATTCCAATTAGAAATGTTGATCATTATTAATATCACAATTTCCATATAAAATAACTTTAAAAAGAGTCATTAGGTTATATCGATGCAGGAGCGTGAAAAATGTGCGGTGCCCTTGAACAGAATTCGAACTCCCAGATACGCGTCGAGCAAGCCTGCTTCCAGTTACACCACGAAGGACTGAACTGACTGAATCAATATATTGAGAAAATGCAGCACGAGGCCGCTTGTCCGACTCGATAAACATTTGCCACGAAGGCGCATCAATCCGCAAGTAGAAAATGGTCGCTAACAAGCTGCAACACCACGAAAGTATGCAGAAAATATCTTATGTACTCCCGATTTTAAAGGGCAAGTCGGAATGACGGGACGCAAAACCAAATCCTAATGGTAACAAATTGTGATCCACCACAAAGTCAGGAAACTGAAAAAATCTGCAGTCATTCGCCAGTGTACGAACTCTGGACCCTCGGAATACGCCAACGAGAGTGCTTTCAGTTAAGTCACCAAGGCATGCAGAAAGGAGGGAGAAAAATATAAAGTATTTAAGTCCTTATAATGAAAATTGGAAAACTAAATGTACGGACTGATCTGAGATTCGACCAATCTGTAAGATATTAAGATTCTCAAACATACTTAATTTACATCACATTCAATTTTTGTAACTTTTATAAAAGAGTTCTAAGCCGTTTTACTCTTTTTTTACCATAATGAGCTTAACTTATTGAAAGGTAGCTTAACTTATTGAAAGATTCTCGATTCTTGAAGTTTATTTTCAAGAAATCACTTTGATCGTTTGCGATGCTGGCTACCGTATTATTACCTTATAACTTAAATGCTCATTTATTTCATATGTAACCTATTCTATATATCCATATGTTACATTCTAACTATATATAAGTAAAATAACTTGCAGTATAAATTAATATTTTGTACGCCTCTTGTAAGATAATGAAAGGAATGTGCTATTTGCAAAATGGTTAAGATTTTAAGTGTCTTCTGTATTTATTCCCTATCTGTATTATTCACATTACTTTTTTAAACGTTTTTATATCATGTCAGGTTTTGGAGATAAAAGGATTATTATACTATTTTTAAAAATCAATATTTGTTTTACCCAGACATTAAATTATCACTAGGTAACGAAAGGTAACGAAAGACGTGACAAAGGAATAACTTGAACCTGGAAAATCCTTGCTTGAAGTTCTTCAAATTATTTAAAAGCAGAAGTTGGCAACGTGTCAACTTCTGATAGAATAGCAGGTGTTTTGTACCGTCTTGTTTCCAAGGCAATATTGCAATCCAGCTGTAATCTGAAGCACCTGATGGCTTTTGTTTAGCATCAGCTTTGGTTAAGGTCATCCAGATGCGTAGTCTATTGTCAAAATTGTTATATACTCTGTATTTCTCAGACACTTTTTCTATCCAAATGATACTATTATTTTATACTAATAATGAAACTATTATTTTATACTCTATACAATAAAATGAAATTTTTTGAGTTGTGGAATGTATTTGAAGGTGCGTGGGCTCTGATATGAAGTTTTTAAGCATTCATTTGCTTTTCATTAAAGGAAGTTATTTGTATGGAATTAAAATGATAAAACACAAAACGCATTTTCATAGTTTTAAAACAAATTAGTTTTCTCTCTTCTCTTGTTTTTAGATCATAAAGTATTTAAGTCCTTATAATGAAAATTGGAAAACTAAATGTACGGACTGATCTGAGATTCGACTAATCTGTAAGATACTAAGATTCTCAAACATACTTAATTTACATAACATTCGATTTTTGTAACCTTTATAAAATAGTTTTAAGCCGTTTTACTCTTTTTTACCATAATGAGCTTATCTTATTGAAAGGTAGTTCCAAGATTCTCGATTCCTGAAGTTTATTTTCAAGAAATCGCTTTGATCGTTAGCGATGCTGGCTACTGTATTATTCGGCACGGATTCAGATCCCAGAGAAGGTTTGTAATAAGGTATACCATTTATGTGGCATGACGGCACTTAAAATATTAGAGAGCCAGATGTCCTCTTGAGAAGGCTGGTGAGAGGATACGATGAATAAGAGGCTTTCATATTCGGCCCTCTAGGTGTTCCCCATCCTAATAGGGAAAGAAGTTTTCCTTTCTAGCGGCTGTGATTCGGTCGTCCATTGTTATGCAACTTGGGCAACGTTCTCAGTGATAATACGACTAAATGACTGATTGGTACTGCTCATTCCCGATGGAAGCATTACGCTGCAAGTTTTCAGACATTTCTCACAAAACCAACAATGTTTTCTTAAAGAAAACGATTAACATATTATTATGTACATCATATTTCTTTCATAATAGTCATTTTCGATGGCTGCAAGCATTTTGAGTACCCATACAGCTATTAAAAGTTGATCTGTATCCATATCAACTTTTTCATTGTTTTTATGACGATTGTATTTAGCGGGTATCTGTTTTGAGCATAAAAAGAACGCTTCACTGGTTTGAATTTTGTTTCTGCTCTATATAAATATTTCAGTTTTACGCTGCTTTTTCAATAAATATTTTTAATCATTTGTTTCATTAAATACAACGGCTATATGTCTAAGGAAATGGATATCTAAGTGGAGGATTAACTTAAGAGAACGTGAATCATATTTAACTTACATGTGAGGAAAACCAAATAATGTTATTGATGCTAATCCGTTTGTGAGAATTTAATGTTGATTTAATTCCACAAAACAACATAAGAGAAGGTATTTGAAGAGGGAAAGCGAAAGTAGGTGTTCGGGAGAAGTACAAGGAATAATTTAGATTCATTTCCTATATACTCATAACGGTATGAACTGACAATAGCCTAACAGAGGAGTTTATATGATGATGAAGGCCTAGGTCATTTATGTAGCGTATGGACTAAGTTGAATCATTCCGCAATACCTCGTAATCGAGATTCTGCCAGTAGTTTATGATATTGTAAATACCAGCTTTCTTGAAGAATTAGTCGTTGATCCTGTGAATTTATTTCTCACGAGTTCTAGGTCTCTTAAGCCTGAGCAAGCTCTCTTTGAAGCACTGAGCTTATCATAAATGTATTTTCTTCTGGAATAATTCTCGAAGCTCCCGAAAATGCTGCATATCTGCAAAATCTAATCAAAGCTAAACTATTATTGTTGCGAATGTTGTATTGATGTACTGTGTCCGTTTCCTAAGAACAAGTGTCGCACTAGTCTCTTCATATAAGTACATCATAGCTTATAGTTCTCTTGAGGGAGAAAAGGAAAAGGATAGAAGATAAACTTATTACATTTTAAAGGTAATAACTAAAGAAGAAATATTGTAGACGTGGTGAGTAAAATATGTTAAAGAAATTTTAATCAAATAAAGTACTAAAAGAAGTTTTGTAAAATTCTTAAAGACATATGAGAAAGCTGTGAAGAAAATGGTAAAGTGGATATTAATTAGATCCGAACACAAAAGATTAATTTAGGGATGCACTTTCGTGGTCTTCATACTACATAAATCAACCGATATTGATTCGAATTCTCATATTTTCTTCGTTTTCCAAACTTCGGTCGACAGAAAGTGGCAGCACTAGAATTGGAATCAAAGAAGATTAATGTCCTCCACCAGCACCTTGAGACGCCCTATCGAAAATCGAAACTCTCTCGTTCAGGAGCGAGGTCGGAACAAACGATCTATGGTCGTTTGGAGAGTTCTTCAAGGCCGACACAATCCGATCTTGATCTTCGAATTCTTCAACATGGCAAATGGCAGCGACCTAGTTTTGCGAGCTGGAGCGGAGCACTTGTTTTATCCGTCGCTACCCCTCTTGTCTGGGAAAATATTTACTTTAGGAGATGATCCATAAATTTATGTTATCAAATTAAAGAACATATGCTTAATTAATTTATTAGTATAAAAAATAGTTACATAAAATAGAGGTTATTGTGTAATATCTAATATTAAATTTAAAACTCACTTTTACTTCTCTATTACTAAATTATGCAAAAACGATATAGCATTTCTCACGCAACTAATTTTTCAAACATTGTAAATATTTGATCTCAGTGTCAAACATTATTATATACTTCAGAATTTGTGTGTCTATTCAGATCAAAAGTCACATTATTTTTCCTCTCATCGTTCGTTCTGTAATGTGTAACCTTAGATTTATTATGAACAATCTACATTTTTATTTCTTTATTTACAGCTCCACAGCTTTGAACTAATTCAAGCATGAGCTCTAGTGACCAGACAGAAGGAGATGTGGATAAAGAAGGGGAAGCGAAAGAGAGGCTGGCTACCAAATCTCCAGACTGGGAACCGCAGGTTTATTTCTAAACTTTTATGCATTTTTTATCTTCCATAATTTAGAGATATCATATTTTATGCTTATTTTATGTGCATTAATAAAAGCTATGTCTTTGTAAAATGCTTGGACTATTAAGTTATGCTGCTGTTGATTTAATATCCATGACCCGTGACAAATATTGCTACCACACAAAGCATTCCTTTGAGTCTACACCAGTGGCTGTTCCACCACAACCCATAGGTGACCAATCGCCTTGCAGGTTCATTCCATTTAGTTTTATTTTAATATTTAGTATAATCTTCTACCCAAGTGACCTACGGACTAACCACTGAAGAGTATCAGCTGATAGAGTACCATGACCTACAACCCTGAAGGACACGAATGTTGTTAAATTTAATTTTGCTTTAATCTATATAAATGTTTAGTGCCTTAACGCACATCATTGATCACTAACTTGTAAGTCACCGATGATCAACAGCCTTAACTATCACTTGGGTTTTTATATGAAACTGGTTAAAACATCCTTAATGAATTGTTTCTAAAATGTTTGGACTGTTATTTTGCATTATTAGAATTAAATGTTTCTATATGATATGCATACCTGTGTGATTTAGAAATTCATACATTTAAGCGATCCTTGGAGTATATAATTTTTCTTCCATGCAACCTTGAAGATAGCCATTTCTCAAATTATATAATTCTTATTTTGTCAAATAGCAGGCAACCATTTGACAAAATAATAATGTATTTTATTTCGTTTCCAAGTTCAATCATTTTGTAATTCTTTAACAAACTGAATGATTAAAAATTACCAAGTCAGTTCTTAAATCATACGATACCTATAATCGTCAACCCGTTAGTCATTGGAGACCAAAGGCCTTTCAAGGGGACGTGACATTATTTTTTATTATTATAGTGTATGTAAATTTATTGCAGGATTTCGCAGTAGTGACTGTCAAATCGCAGACTACTGGCGACCAGCCGGCGTTTACGATCATTGCCGGTTTTGGTTTTTATTTCATCATAATAATCTATCTATTTGATTTCATTTTTAACTAATTTAACTGCATTTAATTTATTGCGTATCCAAATAATAAATTTTATGAATTTTACAGCAGTTATAATGAATAAAATATGTTTCTAACATCATGTATTATGTATCTGTTGCGGAATCCTCTATCGTTTTGCAATGGTAGGCGCTTTTTTTTTCAACGCGTTGTCGATTTCGATTACTAGAACCATTTGCTAATTTAGTAATCGAAATTAGAAAATGGTTATAGTAATTTGCTAATTTCAATTACTGAATTGATTGACAAATAAATCTGGAATAAAATTTCCCATTTATTCTTTTTGTTACAACAAATGTTGTTATGACTGAGATACCTACTAAATCAGAGGAATACTCATTGTAATTATCCAGAAATTTCAGGTTCTGAAAAGTATTTGCCCTTAACTAATTTAGTAACTGATTTATGCTCAAACTCCTCTGTTTTAAGAATTTTATAGTAAAAGCTAATACTTTTTATCTGGTTCATTATCATACTTGCATGGACATTGCCTACATAACGCATTCAGAACAGTTATCCCATTTATTAGCCATTGGTTAAATCGGAGACTAATCGCTTTTCCCTCTCAGTTTCAATCTTAAATTTAACTTTCCCTTATTAAAATATTTCGAACACTACGGTTTGCCTACATTTTCTAATCCAAACGCAAAATAATCTTCTTCGAAAGACGAGATTCCAGACCACCATTCATGAAACTTTTATGAATGCTGGTTTGTAGGGCAAATCCGAAGAGCAATAAAATTCCAAATTCGTGAGTACAAGTGGTATGTAAAGTAGGGGCCTGTTTATGTTTTAATGGGCTCGAAACTCTTGTTTATATTGTAGTGTCCTTTGGCGAAAGGGGAGTCTGACGACTGGAAGGGGTCAAACAGACCCCGAAGCAGATGGAAGATCTTCTTTGTGGTACTTAACCTCGCTTTTGTAGTCCTTCTTCTCACACTCCTGCTGCTCTGGTACCTGAGAGGTAAAAGCATGTTCTTCTCGAAATTTTTAAACCAGTTGCCTAAAAAACTGTTCTTTGTTTTAACTCTTCATTTTTATAGAGAAAATGAACAGCAAGTATCCTGCCTGTTGGCCATCGAAGTATCACACCTTTTGACTAGTAATCTATATGCTAATAAAACAGCATAAATAAGTAATTTGGTAAAAGGTTTACAATTTTATGTATTTTACAATTATAAATGTAATACAATTCTTAAAGCTTGATATTAATGATAATCATAGATAGGATAAAGCCTATATTTTTGAAACTTGAACATGAGTTTTAGTTTTTCGGACGTAATGGGGCTCTGCCTTATTTAGTGTAGATCAACATCCTACTTCAATTACAAAATTATTTGCCTTAATTTTCTTTCATTTTCATTTCCTTATACGATGTAAAGAAAGTATTGTAGCCGCGAAAATTTTCGGGAATCCGATTTCAGTGAAAATATCTATTTTTGCACATATATACGTATGTATGCATATAACTGTATCCAGTAGCCGTATGTAACTGTAACTAAGCGTAAAATCGAAGCTACTGGACATTTTTAGGCACCCGGGAAAAACTATAAAGACCAAAGAGAGAATCAGTTTTCGGTAGTAACAGTATGTATATATACAGCATATTCCGGATCATAACGTTCACAGATGTATAACGCGCATAAAAGATACATGTGTGATGCTTTTATTTTTTTAAGTCATTCATTCGAAGATTTTACCCAGGCTTTCGAACAATGGGTTTGAATTGGCGAGCGATAAGAAGAACAATATGTGTGTACGGGAAATGATAAGTAGTTTGGCAAAGAGGCTGCATGATATACAATGCAGGTGTGCACAAGCATGTTATTCTAAGGTTCAGATAAAAGGGGCATATTATTTAAGGTAAGAATGCACTTCCGAAATGAATGAATTCGCAGAATTAGGAGTTAGATTTTTGCTCGCTCTGTAGTCATTTGAAGCTGGGATTTTGAAGTGAATATCGAAGGCGAGGAAGGAACAAAGGCCAGATACGTCATGTCAGCCTGTAAATAGTGTGCGAGTGGATAGTAAAAGCATGGAAGGAAATTAAACACGATATAATTCAAAAGCCATAAAAAATTTATTATTTCTAACAATCTAGATGGAACAGAAGATATTTATTTATTTATGGATCACTATAACATTGATGGTGAAGATGAAAAAGAATGTGCCTAAATTTATAACGGAAGACGAATTGACGAACTTTTTATGTTATCAGATAAGGAAATTTGTAAAGTTCATAAGGAATGTCAGCTCTTTTAAACAAACAGCTTAAAAGGTACATGCAAAAATATAATTTTTGTATGCTCATCTTTTCCTTATTTTTAAATCTATCGTTTTTATGTCCGACGTATAACACGAAGCCGTAAATTTCGATCGTATATTTTGTATTAAAAGCGTGCGTTGTACGCTGAATATACGGTATATATATTTAATAAAGATCTAACTAATCTAAGAATATATATCTAACTAATCTATATATATATATATGGTTACAGCCGAAAACATCGCGGCAAAAACATCGCGGACGAAAACGTCGCGGAGAAAACAACGCAAGGTGAAAACGTCGTGCTACAAAACATCGTGGGAGAAAACATCGCAAAGAGAAAACATCGCAGTCCTAAAACATCGTGGTACAAAACATCGTCGTCGAAAATAAAGCGGTTCAAAAACTTCGCAGTTTAAAAACATCGTCGTTGAAAATATCGTGGTAAAAAATAAAGTATCTACAAATCATCGCATGACGATAACATCGCGGACATGCTTTTTTTTCAGGCTTTAATAACTGTAAATGGATATTCCTATAATGATTTTTAAGCGCAAGATGCAAAGAGGGATAATTTTTACTTTCATATTTTTATTCACTAATAAATTTTGCTGAGAAAATAAGAAGGAAACGATGCATAGAAAATTAATGCAACTTGTAGCACTCAATAGAATTTTAAACCGACATAGTTCACTAACAAAGGCCATTAATAAATCATTTTTATAAAGTTTTTACTGGTAATTTTTCATGAAAAGTATAATCTATAAGTTGCATTTAATTAATTAATGCAATAATTTAACTTTTTAGCAAAAATTTATTAGTCAATAAAAAACTGTGAAAGTAAAAACTAACCTTCTTTACATCTTGCGCTCACAAATCCTTATGAGAACCATATTTCCATTTACAGTTATTAAAGCCTGAAAAAGCATGTTTGCGATGTTATCGTCATGCGATGATTTGTAGATACTTTATTTTTTACCACGATATTTTCGACGACGATGTTTTTAAACTGCGAAGTTTTTGAACCGCTTTATTTTCGGCGACGATGTTTTGTACCACGATGTTTTAGGGCTGCGATGTTTTCTCTTTGCGATGTTTTCTCCCACGATGTTTTGTAGCACGACGTTTTCTCCTTGCGATGTTTTTTCCGCGACGTTTTCGTCCGCGATGTATTTGCCGCGATGTTATCGGCGGACACCATATATATATATATATGGGAGAAGCAACTTGAGTTTTGCATGTCTCAAATACAAAATATTATATGTAGAATACTTCAACGCATAATTGAAATCTAAATTTTACTTCAGAAATAACAGTCTACTTTACCTAACACAAACGTTAAGGCTAGTTATCTCATATAAATGTACGCACAGGTAAATGAGCAATTAACCAAAAATTCATTTGATGGCAATGTGTGAACTAACTCAAAACAAAGGACAACACAAAATCTGAAGATTCGCTAACATGTGAACAAACATAGAATTCTTGGTACAAAGCCGTTAAAAATTATAAACTTAATTACCAAATCAAATAGACACCTAGAAATAATCTAGCTCTAAAGTTTTAGCTTTAGAGCTAGATTATTTTAGCTTTAGAGCTAGCTAGTTTACCTCAGAATTCTCTCAACCAACGGCAAGGGCAACTTATAAAAAATGACAAGCCTTAAACAGAAATTAGTTTCACCAGTGTTTAGTTAGCATAAGCTGTTTTTAGGAAATTGGAGTAAACTCTTCGTGCTTAACACCTGCAAATGTATGGTGTGGACATTCCCTGGGTCAAGCAGGTCCCTTATCTTGGGGTGATCCTCAGTAAATCTCTTACATGGAACCCACACGTTACACATATTCTCAGGAAGTTTCGAGCTAGTAAAGCTTCACTCTTCCCCTTAATTGCTCGAAACAGTGTTCTATCTATTGATAATAAGTTGCTCATTTACAAAACCATGTTGCGTCCAATTCTTAGTTATGCATGCCTCGTCTGGGCATACTCGTGCAAAGTTTGAGAAGGCAGTTACAAGCTGCCCAAAACGGGGTATTGCGTATAATATGCAATGCCCCCTGGTACATTCGGAAATAGCCTAATTCGTAAAGAGTTAAGAATAGAGGATCTTTGTGATTTTTTATTGCCGCCTATCTAGGGCAATTTATGATAAACAGGAACTTCTGGACAATCCTGTGGTTGTTAACTATTGTTATGATACTAGGGACCCCAATTTCAGTAAAGCGCCCAAGGGCGATCCTAAATGTTAGTAATGTAAGTAATTTTGTATTATGTGTTATGCAAATTGTTGCTCAGATTCTTTATTGTATATTGTTCTTTTTTCCTCCTGATTGCTTTTTGTTTTTACTAGTGGCACTAAGGCGTCGCACTTCGTATTTTGTTTCTCTTGTGTGTACATGTATTCTTCTGTGAAATAGTTGTTAAAAAATAGTTAATTATGTATGGATTAGTAATTAGGTACTTAAGGAAAAAATATGTATTTAACTATTAGCAATTATGAATTTAAACTCTTGCTCATTTAATTATTTAGCACATTCAGTTATATTTCTCATAATTCGAAACTTTTATCATGTTATTCGATGAGGGGTAGGGCTATGGCGCCCAGGCACCCTGGTGGTTAAGCACCGCAGTTCAACAATGTAAGCACCGCAGTTCGTGCTTAACTGAGATTTGCGTTAATCTTCTAAACTGGGTGAATTAGTAAATCAGAAGCCAAGAAGGAATAAGGTAATGTTAAACTTTAGGAAAATTAATGTAATTAGCACAACAGCCTATTAAGAATTCTTTATTCAGAAATTTAAATTTCAGTCACGATACAAAACTAACACATCAGAAAATTTTGTTCATCTTTTCTGTTAATAGGCGTGAAATTTGTTTCTTAATTATAAAATGTTTTCTTAGATTTTATATTAATTAATAAAGTATTATATATTATTTTCCTTTTCCACAGTCATACCAAAGGTTTTGTATGTGGAGCCACCTAGAAAAGAAAGTAAGTTACATTTCATTTAGTGTTACGGTGTTACAAAAACAGAGCGAAAATTATTTTCTTTTTACTGTACATTATCAAAGGTTATTATTACTATTTTTTGCTTAATAGCTATTATTAGCAAACAGAAACTTATGAAAAGAATTTAGTAGCCTTAAATTCTCTTTGTCCGAGTGTTACAGTTTAGTGATATAAGTAGTTAAGTTGTTTTTAAATTGTTTATTATAATGATATTTAAGGTTATTATCGAAATCATTATAACATTTCTGGAAATGCTTTAGAAAATTTTAACGACTGCAAATGTTAAACTGCTTTATTATGACTAAAGTATTATTCTTAATGCAATTTTAATCATGATTAGAGTATAATATTTAGCTTAATTTATTTATGGAGGCTTGTTATTATTCTTACTTGTGTACTGACGCCACATTTATTCGCTAAAGAGGATGCTTTGTTATTGATTGAGGCTGTTAAAGTTGTTGCTCTTGCCAACAGGTGGCGCCATGAACGGGTGAGTTATTGCTTAGGTAGATTGTGAAATCCGATCCTAGGTCCTCTAAAATAGTGGCGCAATATCTTGAATTATTCCAAATAGAAAGATGCTCTTAAGTGCTAAGATGTCACTTCTATAGCTGTCGAAATCACTGCACATTAATAACATATAATATAGTTTCAGCTGAATTTTAGAAACATATATTATCTTTAGGAACTGTAGATTATATTTGTTTCTAGAATTCGCTTTAAGAAGTGTAATAAGCAAATTTGTAATTAGAATATATCTAAATTTATTTTGTACGTTTTCTGGAAGGACTTCATTTCAAAGCATTTAGAGACTATCTGTTCAATGATTTATTGTCTCAAATTTTTATATAATATTACTTAAAAAATTTATCATAGTCTCTTATTTTTGAATAAGCTATTCAGAACGAACGACAGCTGTGGGAAGAGTCCATTAATTGTTTTTTCCTACTTCTTTTCTGTTTCACTTTTATTTCTTCGTGAAACATATACGAATAAAGGCGAACTTGAACTGTAGTTTGGAATGAGGTAGAGTTACCATTGCACTAATTAAATTATCTGTAATTTGGCTTCACTGCCACAATGCCAATACTGCGAAGAAACGACTTCGCAGAATGCGTTAGAATTTTTTCGATAAATATAAAATAAATAAATAATAACAAAGTTTCTATTTCTTGTTCAATTTACAAATGTTTTTAAACGGTGGTTGTAATTTCTTAGTCTGTTGAGTTACTGTACATTACTCTAGTATCATTCCGTAAACATGATAAATGGTAAAGCTTAAGGTCTTTTTATTTTCTTTCAAATTGTAAACTGCAGTTGTTTAACAAATTGAGTGATTTAAAAGTAATTAAGCTACTGTTTAACCCTTTCAGTCCCAATTTATTTGTTTAAGCGTAAAGACTTAGTGCATGACGTAGCACTTAAAGACATATCACATGCTCGCCTTACAATAAACAAATTCACTAAGCCTCTATAAGAAGATGCGCGCGCAAATTTTCAGAGAAGATTTTCAGAGCTTTCTCACATGCGTGTAATTCCCTCTAGACGTCTTTAAACATCTACTGGGACTTATAACCTGCTGGTATTGGAAAAGGTTAATATATGCCTTTCTTTATTTTTGTAATTTGTAATATGTACAATGGATTATTTTTATGAATAATTTGAACATTGTCGTAATAAATAAAATATGTTTCTAGAAGTATTCTAGAAGTATTGTATTGCTCTTTTTGGAATAGACGAATATTTTGGAGTAATCAAGTATTGAAAACTTAATCACATGAAAACAATCCGCAAAATGAAATTCCTTAAGGATCAGGAATTCCGATCAGATTATTCCAAAATATTTTAATTTATTACGTAAAATTAATGCATATAAATCAAAACATTTATAATGTTTTCATTAATTTAGTCTTATTATTGAATTAATTTTGAATTCCACAGGCGTCGGCTGCAGTTCGTTACGTCTTCCCCTGTGCCATAAGTACAAAGTACCTTACGCCTACACAATTTATCCCAATGGTATGGGACAGACCAATCAAAATGAAGCGAGCGAAGCCATCGCCCGCTACGAACCTCTGGTCAGTGTCAAGTGTTATTCTCTTCTGCCCCTTTTTCTCTGCACTATGTATGCCCCAAAATGTATGGGAGAAGGAACACTGGTGCCCCCCTGCAGGTCTCTTTGCCAAGGTAAGCAAATCTTAAATTTTCTAATATATGCTTGCAAAGTTTGATCAGAATTTTTGTGCTAGAATGTAGAATAGGATATTAGAATGTAAGAAATAGAAATAACATTTAAAAATTTCGGGACATTTACGTTATGCTACCAGGCATTTGTCATGGCTGCCACGTGAATTATTGTTATTGCACGAGATGCTCTTTGGTTTCTGTTCCGTTCATCTGTGATTCACGGTGCTGATTATCATCTGTGATCTGCTGTTTTTATTGTTGTTGTTTTTTTGTGTTCCCATCATTGGTGACTTATTGCCTTCGTAGACACTTTAATCTGCAGTTTTATTTCCTATTTGTAAAACTATTATGACGCTATATTAAAGACAATACATTATCAGCTAACTGTTATAATTTAAAACTTTTTACTTTGTAATAAATACAGTTTGTAGAGTTTTTGGCTTTTTGAAGCAGCAGATTTGAAAAATGTGCAGTGCCTTGGCCGAGATTCGAACCTGCATACCTCAAATACTCGTCGAATATGTTTCCAACTACACCCCGAAGGCATTCAGAGCAAACGGATATTATACCTTATATACTTCTCCTTTTTATAGGGCGATTTGGGATTAGGGCACCCAGTCGCTAAATCCTGATGGTGAAGAATTATCGTCTACCACCTTTTAGTTCGGGGGCCACTTGTAGAGTCATTAGGTTATTTTGCAGCAGGAGACATGAAAAAAGAGCAATGCTCTCGCCGGAACTCGAACCGAGACTTCTTGAATACTCGTCGAGTAAGCTTCCAGTTACACCATGAAGTCAAGCGGAAAGAGAGAGAAAACATCTTATGTGTGGGAGAATTTATAGTCACAACTATCATCGCCAAAGCAACAATTTTTCGTAATGAGTTTCATGATGAAATAAGAAATTCCTTTCAAGATAGAATAAGAAATATGAACTCGGAAATACAGTAAATGCGAAAAATATGAGGGACGAACAGTCATTTAAGTCACGGCTATTTACAAGAGTTGATGTTTAATTTTTACAAATTCAGTTCAAATGAGCGATTACGAAATGTAATTCATTCATCACAGCATAGAAGATTTAATTGGAATGCATTTTAGAATATGCTCAGCATGTCACATACTTCTGCAGCAGCGACACTGATTCTGGAGATATTGTCTTAAGGAGAGTCAGTATGCGTCTTCTAAAAGAGAAGATGGAAAAATTTAGCGCCTTAAGATTATCATTTACCCGTGCTAACTCTTGAAATGATTTAATCTGTAATGATGCTGTAAATTTACATAAAAAACTGAACGATTACTTAAATGTCTTTGGGAAGTTACATTGAGAACAGAGCATCAAACTTTAATGCACTCCTTTTGCTGAATTTAATTTGTTAAATTTAATGACGCAGTTCTTTTACGAAATTATCAGCTCAAGAAATTTCACTTGTAGATTGAAATAATGCCTTGTCAAAGGTAAGTGCGTGCCTGTGAGTAGTGAAATTGAAGTAAAATTCAAGTTTCAAATTACTATTTCACTTTGGCGCAATCAAAATTATTTTTGACAACGCTCGTTTATGAACATATTAAAATGCAATAGATCGGAGGAGTTTCTGAAAGAAAAAGGAGCATATTCAAATTAATAGATAAAATAAAGAAAATTTTGAGAATTAATACATACAAAAAGACCAGGCATAGAAACAGAGCATAACAAATAGAAAAAATGAAGACTGGCGCGTATTCATTTGAACGTGAGAAAAGCCAGGAAACTTCCGACGCAGCCACCCTGAAGCCCTGAAGTGCAAATTGGTATCGTAAGTAGAGGCTTCTAAAACCCTTCATTGGTCATTCTATTGTTGGATTTGCTCTTATGACACTGAAATAATATCTCTGAATATATTGCGTCATATGTGTGCGTTTTACTCTGAAATTGCTATTTACATATTGTTTCACATTCATTTTCATAATATGCATTTGTTTTATAGTTACTTAAAAATCTTGTGCAATTTTAACTGAAATCTCTCAATTATATTTTCTTTTTATGAATTTATTGAGCATTGTTTACAGATTACTGTCGTATTCCTATATCGAGAAAATAATTTAGACTGTCATTTGCTGAAAAACTTATTTGAACGTACGTGTACGCTATCTACCATATTTAACTTCTTCAAATTCTTCAGATATATAACTTTTCAATTATTTTGTAGAGAACATTAAAAAAATATTATGAATGATCTTATTTTAAGGTGTGTTGGAACCCCAAAATCTTCAAAAAATTATGATTTCGGATTTTTGCATTTTCAAATTCTCTATGCTTTTATCTTTCTAAAAATACCATTCTTTAATCTATATGAAAATTATAACTGTAAAAAAAATCTAGTTTTAATTTGTCATCGACTGCTTTAATCAATAAGGAGTTTTACATAAAAACGCGTTTTTCTTCAAACGTGATTTTTTTATACTCGATGTACCTTTTCTCAGGAACTACTGCTCACAGGTATCTAAACTTTTAATGGCTTATTTATTAGGTTTCCTTACATTTACTGAAATAAGCTTTTAGTGATAAATTTAGAAAAAACAATTTTTTAAAAATTTTTGTGCGAGAAAAGTGCTAAATTTTACTATACCTAACAAAATATTCTGTAAATTACTCTAAAATTCAAAAAGTTTCAAAAGCTCATTTCGGTAAATTCTGTGTAATTAAGGTGTACCTTAATTACACAAAAAATTTCAAACGTGTCTCTACAGCAGATTTTGAGAAAAGGTTCATCGAAAATGGCCAATTTAGCATTGTTGGTATAGGGGTTGCTGATACCCCTTAAGCTAGGTAAAGCTCAGAAATCGTTGTAAGCTTTGGAAGCTTAACAAATCTCAAGTTATGCAACAGAAAATACTAAGTAAAATGCCATTTGCCCTTTCTAGAAGCCATATCCTTGATTTCGAAGCCAATGGATACTTAAGAATTATGCAGCTCGTTCGCTGGGACTTGAGCCCGGTGGTATTACCAGTGTTCATTAGACTTACCCCTCAGCCGTTGATGACGCACTCATCTCTCGATACGGCTGTACTAGTTACAATGCTTATTACAAAGAATATCAGTAGTTTTCTAACAAATTCGCTGACTTACTTGACAGACAGTCATAAAATATTGGAAAACAAAAACTACTTAAAAATGTTTTTGAAATTTTATAGCATACATTTTCAAGCACTTCATTTTCGATTTGCTCATAATGCCATCATCAAACAAGTTCTCAGATATCCTTTTCTGAAAATTTCTATTATAATAAAATGTTCCAATTACACTGCTTTAATTATGAAAATTAGTTATTGGAAAAGCAGCAAATAACCCGTTATTTCAATATTAAGTTATGCATATGCATATGTTCACATGTTCAAGCGTATATACGTATATTATATAGGGAAAAATAGTCGATAAACATAAATAATAACATCACTCAAAAAATCATAAAATCTTGATAAATATACATGTTTTATGACAATATTGCATTAAATATATAAATTTTATTTATATATTTAAAAATACTTTATAAAACATGCAGGTTTCCATTATGATAAAATGTTATGTCATTTACACTTTTATTTACATTAAACAGCAGTCCGTTCACCATTTGATTATTTCAGAATCAAAAGAAAGTACTACATTTAAAAAAAACGTACTTGCAATACAATAGTAAAAAAAATAACATCAGATTTGTATTCTTATAAAAATACTTAATATCAAAATTTTCCTGTGGCATACAACAAGTGTTACCAGATGTTTACATTACTATTATGCATATTACGTTTCTCAGTACAATTAGAAATGAATCAGTATTGTTTAAAACCTGTTGTGAATGAAGTAATATTTATAATAACGTTTTAATATTTCTCCATACACATAAAAATAAAAAAAAACTAAAACTTACTTAAAGACGTTAATTTAATTATTTCCATTTTTGTTGCATTTACTCACGTCATTCATTCATTAATTACAAAATGAAGCGTAACCTAAACCACAATAAGCATTAAATTATGCATAAAAACAGAACAAAACAGTTTTTCCAAACTTTCATTGCTTCTATTTTTTTTTTTTCATTTTTATTCTCAGTGTTTCATAGGTTTTCTTCACATACAAGACATATAAAATCCAGCAGTCATTTTCTTCAGCTTTTTGAAGATAAGCGTTTCCGATTACAGAAGACAAGAGTAGAGAAAAAGAAATTCCGAAAATATTAATTAGAGGATAACTTACTCCTCTTTAGCAGAGTGGATATGGCTGCTGAATACTGAAGTTCACTTCGAATTCAGCATGTCATCCTCCGCACCTAACTAAAATACGAACCAATTTCTCTTATAAAATTCTTCATGAAGGCATCCCTGCCTAATAAGGTCACTCAGATCATATGCTTTTTTGTGAAGTACCGGATGGCTCAATTGAGTAACAGAGTTAATTACTATCATTTCATCAAAAACACAAGAGAAAATATATTTCAAAGTTCGTATTTTCTACATTTAAATTTTTTCATTGAACGGTCAGAAGGAGATTCGTCGGTCTGCACGGATTTTTCTTCTATTTCTGCCAAATTTCTAAAATAGATATCGCACACAACCTTAACTCCTTCTGGCTTTAACTTATTCTTGGATTTGCAAAATATCTCTACGCTTTTGCTATCGGTATGCATGATCGAATCAATTCCTGTCATCTCATCAAATATGCGGGAAGAGTTATACTTCAGAGTTAACATTCCTTTCAATTCAAGTTTTTCTCCAGATTTTACTCTGCGGAGCTGTAGCGTATTAGGATCGTTTTTCCAGGATGTAAAAGTGAAGTACCAGAATTGACCTTCTTCGCAACTTGCATAGTAGTCACTAAAAAGCTCCGCCTTATAACCCCATTTTGATGCTGAATGGGAGAATTCATAGAAGTTAGTATTCCATTCGAGAGTCAAATGCTTGAATGCCATATTTCAGATGAAATGGAATGCAATTTAATTTCACTTGCTACTAACTGATTATTGA